CTGAGCTTCCTGGAGCCTTTCCAGCAGACCCCCTGCTCCCCTCCAGCACCCCTCCTTCTCCCGGCCTGCCCAGCAACTTGCGCCCTTCCAACCCCTCCTTCCCGGTCCATGAACATATCCTCTCCTTCTGTATGCAAGCTAGCTGAATCCCATTTGTTTCCAGAAGTTCAAGGCCCCTCTGCAGCGATGGGGGTGGGGCTGCCACTCTGTGATGTGGGAGCCACGTGGGAGATCGGGATTTTGTTTCCGTGTTGACGTGCACCTGCTGGGCACGCAGGCGTCTGTGATCCCAGGTGGCTGGGAAGGCTAGTGACAGGACACTGGGTACAAGCCTTTCTTTCTTTCTCATGAAGGGAAAAAGAAGTTCAAACAGTCGATCCTATGTAGCCAACCCCTCTGTTCAAGTCCTGAACCCGGGGCATGAGAAACACATGGGGCACGTGTGAAGGTGTGCCCGAAACCCCAAAAGAGGAAGAGACGGAGAAGAGATTGCACTTTGCCCGTTCCTCATGGGGGGGGGGCACATGTGAAGGTGTGCCCGAAACCCCAAAAGAGGAAGAGACGGAGAAGAGATTGCAGTTTGCCCATTCCTCATGGGGGGGCACTTTCTTCTCTCCCTCTGTCTGTCTCTCTGCCCCTCTCTGGTGGGTGCAGGTACCCTCTAGGGATAAAAACAACAACAACAAACTGAAGCATCACGTTCCCTAGACCTGCCCTCGGGTCCGCCTCCGGTCTGATTCCAGGGTCCTCCCGTGTGTCCACAGAACTCCGTGCAGACTTCTCCGGGGGCAGCGCATTAGTCAGTGCTGGCTGATCTGTCTGTCTTCCCTGGCTCAGACACGAGGCCCTCAAGGACAGGGGCCATATCTTACTTGTTTCTGGATTCCCGGTCCCTAGCCTATACCTGGCATAGACCACGCAAGCGTGTTGAGAAGCAATGGCAAGTACGAAATCATGACTCTCCTGTGTTTACATTTTGTTGACTTTGGAACCGAGCAGGAAATGGCTACGTGGAATTCCAGCAACCGGGTTCATTCGTGCCCCCGCTAACTCCGCTTCCAGCAGGGCGGCCATTGGCTCAGGGGCCTGTTGACTCGGATCGCCCTCCAGCCAACAGGAAGCATGCACGGCATGGACTCTGAGTCCATTCTGTGTACCAGCGTTGCCCAATCTGCAAACAGCCTGTGCTGTGCAGCCTTGCCTGTCAGGAGCAAGGTGGTTCTTTCCGGATGTGAGAGAAGTGAACGTGATGTGTTTACTGACGCGACATCAATGGGGATATGTGGGAGTGGGCAGAAGGTTACGGGGAAAGAGAAGCTTTGTTGAAAAGGGCCTGATCATTGGGGATGGAGGGCCCACCACAGGTCAGACTTTGAGTAGCTCTTTTTTTAAAAATTTATTTAATTTATTTAATTTTTTATGTTTGGTATATGGCCCATGCACTCACCGGAGAGAGATAAAGAGAGATAGAGAGAAACTGACAGAGGGAAAGTGAGAAATCATCTACCCAGGAACATGGCCATGCTGCAATCCTTTCTTTATCCTCCTCTCGGGATTTTAGACATGTATGCACATGTGCCCAGCGTAGTTTTCAAGCCCTGCCTGGACCTGGACTTGACCCATGCAGTAGACCATAAGGGATCCAGTGCCTTGACCACCACGCCGCCTGCTGGCCCTGAGTAGGCCACGTGGGATCCTGTGCCTTCACCACCACGCCGCCTGCTGGCCCTGAGTAGGCCACGAGGGATCCAGTGCCTTGACCACCACGCCGCCTGCTGGCCCTGAGTAGCTCTATAACCTGGACTGCAATGCTGTGGGACAGACACAGAAGGGGCAGCTACATAGACTTCATTGATTCTAAGGTGCTCTTTATTTCACATTTTAATATCTCTGGAACTGGAATGGCTTTAAAAATAGATGGCATCTGGGACCAGCAGTCGGCATAACGGCTATGTTGCTGGACTCCCACACAGTGGACCACAGTTTGAGTCCTGAACTCGTGGCTTAAATTCACGCCAGGCACATGAGTTTTTAGAGTGTTTTGCCTGAAGATGTGTGTGTTCATGGGGGTGGGGAGAGACAGACAGACAGTGAGAGAAAGTGAGAAATCACCCTCTGGGGGGGATGACCACGCCGCAATCCCTTCTCCTCCATTCTCCTCCTGGGATCCTGGGCACACATGCACATGTACCCAGCGTGAGATTCAAGCTGCTGGATCTGGGACTCAACCCACAGTCAACCATGTGGGAGTCCAGCGATGTAATCGCTATGCCATCTTGGTCCCCTCAGCTCCACTTTTAAGGCTCCTCCCTTGCCCAGTGTCCCAGGAGTCTGGGCTGGCTCTGCTCACAGCATCCCAAGCCACTGCCGGGGCTCCCGGGTCCCAGTGTTTCTGGAATGTATGGTCTGCTCCTGCAACTCACCTGTTATTCTGTAACCCACTGTCCCACCCCTCATCACTTCCAAAACAGGACATAGCCACACGTGTCTGAACCTTAGCTGTGGACATGGTTGACTTCTTACCGGGGGGCTCCTGGGGCCCATGTAAATCAATACTTAAATCAGAGGGGTGGGGCAGGGAGGGTATCATGTAATTTTACCTACTGGCCTATCACATCCTACTCATAGATTACACACTGCTCAAGGACAAGCAGTTTTTTCATTGCTGGAGGGCTTATGCACTCATCAGAGAGAGACGAAGAGATAAGAGACCACGAGTGTGGATAGGCGAGGAGAGAGGAGCCTTCTGTGGGGTGTGGTCATGCCCTAATCCCTTCTCATCCATTTCTCCATCCTGTCAGGATTTAGACATGCACACCTACCCACTTGGCCTGTTTTTCAAGTCACTGGGGTGGAGATTCAAACCACAGTCGACCATGTGGAATCCAGCTTCCCTGGGTTAAAGGACCAACTTTTTTTTTTTTTTTTTTTTTTTTTTTTTTTTTTTTTTTTTTTTTTTTTGTCATAGGGCACATGTGCTTTCTATAGAGGAGAGAGACAGAGAGATTCAGAGAGAGGGAAAGTGAGAAATCACCCCTCCCCAATGGCGGATGGCCATACCACAATCCCTTCTTCTCTTGGGATCTTAGGCATGCATGCATACGTGCCCGGTGTGATTTTCAAGCCACCAGGTTCAAGATGAGAATCGTGGTCAGCCGTGTGAGACTCAGCACTTTAACCTCCACACCACCGGTCCCTTAATTGCTCTACTTTAAAAATGGCAGAAAATTAGCCTGTCTCCAAAGCCGTGGAAAGAATAAAGGCTGTATTGTTTGCTGACTGTCCCTGAAGAAGCCTTCTGCGGGCCAGGTCTTGGTTCTACTAGAGCATGGTTTATTGGGTACTGTCAAGGGTATAGACATGTTGTTTGTACCCATGGACTTCTCGGGACCTAGAGCCTTTTGTCAAGAGAGCTGTAGTTTAAACTGTCTAGTTTTTAGCGAGTAGTGTTTCTCTTTGTTCTTTTCTTCCTTCTTTTCTTTTCCTCTTTTCTTTCCTTTTCTTGTGATTTGCCTGAGGGGATGCATGCTCACTGAAGAGAGACAAAGAGAAGAAAAGAGAAAGTATCCCCCATGAGAGGTGGTGGCACTACAATCTTTTCTCCATTTCTCCCTCCTTTTGCGATTTTGGGCAAGTACACACATGTGCCCAGCATATTTTTCAAGCCTTCAGGACAGGGATTTGCATCACACAATTGACTAAGTGGAATCCAGTCACCTTAACTGCTGTGCCACCAGCTGGTCTACAAGTAGTCTTTCTTTCTTTCTTTCTCTCTCTCTCTCTCTCTCTCTCTCTCTTTCTTTTCTTCTTTCTTTCTTTCTTTTTGTTAAGCAAGACTGTTGATCTTTATTTGGGGGTGCCAAAAAATGCTACAGTTCAGTACGTATACCTGCAATTAACGGTGACCTTTCTTTTGCAGAGTAAGAAGACAAACTCTGAAAAGAAAACTGGAAGAGGCGAGGACAGAGAGGCAGTGTGAGTCCAGCCCCTGCCAGCTGCTATATGCCCCCTGTGTTTCAGCAAGGATGGGCCAGCCAAAATTCTGGGCTGCTTTCTTTCCTGGCTTGAACAGCGCATTTTCCCCTGAAAATCCCGTCTACGGTGGCATCTCGTCGTACATGTTAGAGATCAGCTACGAGAACCAAATCACGCTGTTCGGAAGAAATGTCCGTAATACACGCGGAATCACTGATGGCTTTTTCTTCGTCTTTTTTCCCCTGAACATTCTCTTGTGTTTCTTCTTTTACACTGGATATGGGCTGTTGGAAAACAATTTCTTTATCTTTATCATCATCATTCATTTCAGCCACTTGAGATTTTCGTTTCTCCAGAAATGTTGGTGTGCAAACTGGTGCGGGCCCTGTCTTCTCGGGAGTGTTAGGAGTGTCTGGAACCTTCTCTTCCTTCTTTGGTAAAACCTGGCTCTTTGCAGATTCCTGAAGATCAGTGTCTAAAAGCTTTCCCCCCCTTTTCTGTATAATCAAGGAAGGAAAATTATAATCCCTTTTTTAGCTAATCTATTCCTGAGTAATTTTTCTTTCGTCTTAAAATGCTTTTCCATCCGTTGCTTTTGGAGAGGTGATTATTTCTTTTCACTGCTGGGGATGACGACTGTTGAAATGGAGTATTCCAGTTTCTACAAAGTTCTTTGTATACTTTTTCGGGTGGTACAAAGTGACACTTCAGGAGCCTGTTGCCACACATAGTTGCTCATAGTTTCAGCAACGATCTTGGCGACGTCGTCAGATTCAAACTCTACAAAGGCATAGCTCTGCTCTTTCCAGTCCTTTTGCTTTTGGACAGTCTAAATCTTGTGATAGTGCCACACTGGGAGAAATATGCCTTGATCTGGGTTCCATAAGTGCGCTAGGTAGGTGGCCCATGTAGGTTACTGCAGGAGCGACGTTCCCTGGCTCTCGATGCTTGGTTCTGTGCGCCTGAGCATGCGCGACCTCCGGCGGGAACTGCGGACTCAGCGACAGGAGCCGCCATGCTGGAGGCTCCCGAACACCAGCGCTCCACGCGGCGCCCAGAAACCGCCCGGCAGGTAGCATGTCTACCCTAATAAGCAGTATTTAAAATGAAAATCTAGACTATTTTTAGGAGGTCAGAGAGAAAGCAATTGTGTTGATCTGAGTGCTTAGAAAAGTTCTTGATTCATCTTTGATAAGCCCAGGAACAAGGGTCTGTTATCTCTTGTCTAGCTCCACCAGGGCCTTCAGGGCACAGTTCTAAAGAATGTGGTGAAGGGGACCAGCAGTTAGCGTAATGGCTATGTCCTGGACTCCCATGTAACTGACTACGTTCAAGTCCCAGACACGGTGGCTTAAACTCACGCTGGGCACGTGTGCATGCGTGCCCAAGATCCCGAGAGGAGAATGGAGGAGAAGGGATTGTGGCGTAACCATCCCCCCTGGGGGGTGATTTCTCGCTTTCTGTCTCTCTGTCTCTCTCTGTCTTTCTGGAGAGCACATGCGCCCTGTAGCAAAAAACCTCTACAAAAAGAAAAGAAAAAAAGAATGTGGTGAAGAACAGGACTGGATCTAGTAAATCAGTACTGTTGTTCTGCGAGGATTTGTCAATATATACCAGTTCGCTTTTTTCTTTTTCTTTTTTTTTTTTTATTAGAGTTTTGCCATAGGGCATGTGTGCTCACTAGAAGGAGACAGAAAGAGCCAGAGAGGGAAAGTGAGAAATCAGCCCCCAAAGGGGATTGACACACTGCAGTCTCCTCTCTTTTCTCCCCTCGGGATTTTGGGCATGCACGAACACGTGCCCCAGTATGATTTTCAAGCTACCAGGTCCAGGACTCGAACCATGGTCAGTCATGTGGTAATCTAGCACCTTAACCACCACACCACCTGCTGGCTCCCGTATCAATTCACTCTTAATTCAGTAATTCTCCTTCTGGGGATTTCTCTGGAGGAAAGAGATTCACCTGTGAGGCTGTCACCTGCGTCATTATATAGATGAGATGAAACTTAGACATCTGTCTACAAAGGGCTGGTTAAATACATCATCGTGCCTCTATCACACCACGGAACCTAAAACGTTTACATGGAAGATTATTTCATACCAAAGGGTATCTTTTATCATAGCACACCAAGTAAAAACAAGTTATATAAGTGGACAAAAAAAAAAAAAAAACTTTTCTAAAAGAATTTTTCTGTAGACTATGTGTACTTGCCAGAGAGAGAGAGAGAGAGAGAGAGAGAGGAGGAAAGAGGACAAGTGAAAAAGCGCCCCCTAGAGGGGATAGCTGTGCTACAATCCCTTCTCCATTCTCCTCTCAGTAACTTGGACATGGGCGCACACATACACACCTGGAGTATTTTACAAAACACCACGTCTGGGACTTGAACTGCTCAGTCATCCATGTGAGATCCAGCTGTTTAACCACCATGCCACCAGTTGGCCTCGAATTTTATTTTTAAAATATGCATTACAGATACCTAGATATTTGTTTGAAGTCAGTCAAATATTAACAGTGATAACCCCTTTAGGGTGAGATTGCAGATAATTTTTATTTCCTTCTTTTCTGCATTTTCCATTTTTAATGTTGAATATATACTACCATTGCAATTAGAAACAGAACACATGGAATGTTATTTCTGAAAGTACTAATCTCGTGAATGCACAAGAGGACAGGAAAAATAAAATGTGCTGACCAGATAAGTTGCCCCATGACCTTACGGGTAACAGGGAGCAGAAGCCGGGCAGCCCGACACAGAGGCAAGGGTGTGGGGCTCCACCTTTCAAGGGGGGGAAGGAAGGGCTAGAGCCAAGGTTCTTTGATGACTTCTGGCTCCAAGGAGCAGAAAATGTAATACCAGTTAGCGATTAAAAATAAAGAAACTGGGGCCCAGCATGTAGTATGTGGTTAAGGGCTCCCACATGGCCAACTGCGGTTCAAGTCCCAGACCAGTGGCTTGAAAATCATGCAGGGTGCATGTGTGTGCCCAAAATCCCCTGAGGAGAATGAAGGAGAAGGAATGACAATGTGGCCATCCACCCTGGGGGATGATTTCTCAATTTCCTCTCTGTCTCTCTCCGGCTAGCACACACACCTGTCATGAAAACCTAGTAAAATAAAATGTAGAAACTGTACATTTAGTTTTGGAAAAGTCAATGTTCTGAAGAAGAGATCAACACACAAAAGTTTGCAAAAGCAAGTCCCTTTGTCATCCGGTAATGCGTGACATCCCAGTTGGAGAGGCTTGCTTTGGTTCTTTAAAAATGCATGGCCCAAGGCCAGCTGGTGGCATGGCAGTCAAGGTGGCCGGTCCCAGATGGCCAGCTGTGCAGTGAGTCCTGGATATGGCCGTCTGACAAAAATGCCAGGCGCGTGCGACTGTGTTCCCAAAGTCCTGAGAGCAGAATGGAGGAAAGGGGTTGCAGTGTGGCCATCCTCCCGGGGGTGCTTTCTCACTTTCCCTCTCTCTCTCCTGGCATAGCCATGGTGGTGTGGGCGGTGCTGGAGAAATGTGGGCCGCCTGCCTGGTCCCGGGGAGATGCGGGCCGCCTGTGTGGTCCCGGGGAGGTGTGGGCCGCCCAAGGCTTGAAATTGGACTTGGGGCATGAACATGTCAGGTGTGCCCCTGGGGGCGCAGATGATCCTGGCTGGCTAGAAGGCTGGGGGAGGATCGCAACGTGGCAAGACCCTGTCCAGGTCACTTGTCTCTCTCTCCAAAACAAAACAACAGAAAAGAAACAAGCACACTACTCAGTACCAAACAAAACCGCCCCTGGATGACTCCTCCGGTCCTATTGGTGGGTTTCTACACACACGTCATGTAACTTTTGTCTGGTAGTAAGAGCGTTCTCTGTGGGAAGAATGATGTTACAGCCAATGTGCAAAAGGAACTTACTGCTGAAAACTGAGGTTTGCAATCCACATAGTCTAGAATTAATTTTTTTGAAACTGTCACCACAATCAAAAGGGCTTACTTTTTTATGAATTTTCCTTTCTGGATTCAAGTGTGAATGGAAAAAATGAGACCTGGAATCTTGAATGTATCGGTCAAACCCCACTGCCCTTGCTTGTAAGATGGGGTGGAGCAATAGCATTTGCCCCTTTTCTCATAACATTTTGAGTGAAGCTTAAATGACAAAACAATCACGGGAACTATAATTTATATAGAGTGTTTCACATTTGCCTGACACAGCTCTTCGTTGTTTCTAAGTCACATAGACTTTTTTTAGGGGGGGAGGTTTTTTGCTTTCTGCACTCGCCAGAGAGACAGAGAGACAGAAAGCAAGAAATCCCCCCTCCCCTGGGGGGGATGGCCATGCCGCAATCCCTTCTCCTCCATTCTCCTCTCAGGATCTTGGGCACGCACGCACACGCGCCCGGCGTGAGTTTAAGCCACCGGATCCGGGACTCAAACTGCGTTCAACTGCATGGGAGTCCAGTGACATAGCCATTATGCCAACTGCTGTTCTCTAAGTTTGCGAGAAAGCAAGCTGCCAGGTCCGGGACCATGCCACAGAATTTTTTAAAAAAGGAATTTAAAAGGACATGCACAGTCAAAATAAGCAACTTGTTTAGCAAAATGGGAAGTAGGAGAAGGAAGACTCGGTTGCTTCTTTACTTGAAGAAATGTCCTTTTATTTTATGTGACAGACCAAAAATCACTTCTCTAATGGCACTTTGTACACTGTGTTATGTTTAATTAATGAGTCAGTAAATGTGCTTTGAAAATAATTTAGTTTGGGGACCAGCAGTTAGCGTAATGGCTATGTCGCTGGACTCCTACGTAGTCGACCACGGTTCGCATCCGGGACCCGGTGGCTTAAAGTCACCCTGGGCACGTGTGCGTACATGCCCAAGATCCCGAGAGGAGAATGGAGGAGAAGGGATTGTGGCGTGGCCATCCCTCCTGGGGAGTGATTTCTCGCTTTCTGTCTCTATGTCTCTCTCTGTCTGGCGAGCGCACGCGCCCTATAGCAAAAACCTCTCCAAAAAAAAAAAAAAAAGATCAATGTAATGCCTATTTAATTTCTTAAGCATAGTGATAACACACCTGAGCCAGGAATTAGGCCCAATGAGCAGGGAAATGGGGCAGAGGTCCCCAAGGAAGAAACGCTATGACAGGAAATGGACACACATCTGGAGCCAGCTTATCAGAGTCACTCTGGTCAAGCTTCTGAGTGGCTCCCGGCTCTCGCTGGAGCTCAGTACTAGCGCTCATGCTTGCTCGCAGAGAGCTGCTTACAGCCTCTCGGGGAAGCTTGCTCGCAGAGAGCTGCTTACAGCCTCTCCAGAAATGCTGCCAGCTCCTTTGTGAGGACTCCTTCCTCCCACCCTTCCCACCTGGCTCTTGGCACCAGGAAGGCTGTTATCGTCCTCTGCTGTCCCAGATAGACACCCAGACGTTCCCCACTGGGCTGAGACGCTCAGTCACCATCCTCACAGACCACCCTGGGCGTGTGATGAGGTCATTACATTCCTCACCCCAGAGATGCACAGGCAAGGAAAAGCAGGAAAACGCGGGGAACCAAAGCAGCCAGGTTCTATGGCAGGCCCCCCTGCTAAACACCCATTACCAGCCCCCGGGTGGGCTTTCTCTGCCAGCCGCCCACCGCATGCCTTTCTGACATTCCCTATTAGAAATCTTTACTTTTCTATCGAAACTTCTCTTCTACTTTACAGCTTTTCATTGTGCACCTCAGGCCTGTGGGCAGCGTGTGACCCCTGGGCCGCAGCGCCCTCTGAGCCAGGCGAAGCTACTCCCACGTGGCTTCTCCAGCCCCCTAAACCTAAGACCTCTGGGTAACAACTCTTATTTCAAAAGATTCTCTCGTTGTTTTTTTTATCTCAATTACATTCACGGGATTAATAATTTACAGGGAATTTGACATTAATCTCGGCGGCGCTATCAGAGCATCTGTGGGAGAATGAAGGAACGTGTCTGATCTCTCTGGTCGGTGAGATTGTCCAAAACCTTGGAATTTCCCGAGTGTTCCTTTGTTATTCATGGAGGGGTCCTGTGGACCACATCTGAGTTTATGCTAATGAGGTGATTCTGATGGGTTCCTAAATGGTCC